TACCACAAGTTTCTTAACTCAAACTGACGCCCTAAACGGTCACAGAAAAGTCAAGCATAGCTGGTTACACAAGTCTAACAAAACCTGACTCTGAGGTAAACCTGACATCTATTCGGTGTTCGGTATTATATTTCAGGGTTTTTTTGCTCTTATTATTTGTGTAAATTACACATTTTCTTTAAATTAAATTGTTTTCTTTGGCTGCTGACAGTAAATTGATTTACTTATGCAGTAAATGAAGTTAACAGAACTGCACAGATATTTAGACCTTTGACCAAGACACTGTTCTGCTGTTATATCAATCCATAACTATAAACCCAAAAAACTTAAGGCAACACCTTGTGCACATTGCCCTTTGAACAACATGATGGCTTCCATCGGTCTTTCACCCTTAACATACACAATCAGTCATGGTGTATAGAGCTATCAAAACCACAGGGTCAGCTTGAGAAGTCAGTAACGAGACTGATGTGAGCAAGAGTTTTATTGTTTTTTGAAGACATTTTTTCTCTACCATTAGCTCAAGTGCTCCTTTGTCTTCTGGCTCTTGGAGAGTACAGACACTTTTTTCCCTCTCCCTCCCTCTTATCCCAAGGCTCTTTGTCCTGTCTTGTGTGCACGGTGCTTCTGCATTTTTTCTGGAAACTGGAAATTATTAAAAAAGGATCTGGTCAGCTGGTCACTCAACGCGACTGACAAATTTTTTTCAACGATGAGAACGGGAGAAGGGGCTCCCGGGTGCCCCTCTGGGACAGAGCCAGCTGGGTATATCATGGACTCATGGAAACAGTGGAATCTTTAGAGCTGATTGGAGAACGCACAAGGTTGGCTGGCACCATATTGTCTTTAGCCAATCACAATAACTCAAATGACATTTAACATGTGCGCCTGAACAAAATCTGAAAAATAAAACCTAAAAAAATTATTTGGGTAGGAAAAAAAGTTGAAGGGCTCTAAATTTGTCCCAAACAGTTGCAGCAAACTTAAATTAAGTTCTTATTTCCTGTACTCCAGTGGTTTTATATTCATTCATGCACATTTACCAGCTTCTGCAATGAGATTACTTTGAGCATGATTCTTATTTTATGAAATAAAACAGATCTAAACTCACTGAAAACATCATTCTGCTTTGCATATGAAACAGAAGCTCCTCTCCAACATGGCTTTGCTCTGTCCCTTTAAAGTTTTTTGTAGACTAAGCAGAACATTTGCTTTTACACACTCACATCACTGTGCTTTATGCTGTGTGTTCCTGGGCCTCCCTTTAAACTTGGGGTAGCTTTACAGTGACCTAAACCAGCTTTTAGTGGCCGCATAAATGCTTTGACTGTTCAGTCCGACTATGATGTTTCTCTGATGCCAACGCGTAAACTCAACCAACATCAACCAAACTGGGACATTACTTAAAATTCTTGCTTATCTCCGTCTCCACACAGGTACAACAGAAGTGTGGTGTTAGCCTTTACACACCGTAATGTTTTACATGGGTGTGGCTGGCTTCTTAGAACACAATGTTAGAATTTTAAAATCATCTCAGATAATTTGGCATTTTTCCTAAATTAAAATGAATCCACATCAAAAATGCATGAGTAAAGTAGGTGTCCCCTGGTGTCCTGATACAACAACGACATTCTGACCCAGCTGCCAGGAGTCTTTAGCCTAGTGAACTAGACCAAATTCTTGCTTTGCAAATACATTTATTTAGTCTGGCTTGCCAGGCTAAGGAGTCTTATGATTGAGAGCTAAACAAAGACAGACAGTGTGAAGATAACCACACACACACACTCTTGTTTTATGTGCACACAGTACAGCTGCTACCGAGAACAACCCCTGAACACACATGGTGGAAAAATGCAAAAACAAGTGATGAATGTAATGAATTAGCCGTTTGGGAGTGAACCTTACAGAGCAATCACTATAGCTTTACTTAGCAAATCGAAACACAAACGCATCTAAATTTGACTTTCCCAGATGAGTTGTAAGCAGACAACCCCAAAGACACAATGTTTGATTTACTAGGCAGAGAAAATTACAAAGTCTCTGCATGGTACCAGACCACTACCAACTGTGTGAGAACAGAGAGGACCACACCGAGGTGAACACACTGCTGGTGAAAACCAGATGAGGTGGCTTTAAGCACTAGGTGGTAATCCAAAAGTGGGTCAAATGAAAATTAGTGGTCTCACATGGTAAAAAGAGCAACATCAAGCTCTTAGAAAGTAATTTTCTTTGTGCGGAATGTCATACTGACTGGAAAAGCTATTTCATTGTATTTTGCTATTATTAAAAAAGAAATTTACAAACTAATTGTGGATCTTCCTCACAGCTCCCTACCTGGGAGAGAATTGTGTTTATTGTCTTCGATAATGAACTCAGGTTATGTCTCCATGTTAGATGCTACAACATTAAGTGGCTCATTATGTTTTATTAATAAAACAGTTGAGATATTACAGAAAGACACTAAATGCCTCAAATGCAGGATTCATTTTCGAACCATCAATTTCATTCTTTTATTTATGGTTTCCTAAAAAATATGAAACAACTATTTTTGCATCTTCTAAAGCAATGACCGAGTCTCCAATAAAAAAATAACTAAATTAAACAAATACTTTCATATTGTTTGTAAATAAAAAGTCTATATTTTCCGTAGCAGATAAACATTTTCTATCATTAGATAAAAGCAAGTGAGGGGAAACAAAAATACATGAATATAAATGCCATTGGATATGTACATAAACACTTAAATACAAACTAAGTCTTATTTACAGTCTCAGATGTTTAGGAACGGGATGATTTCTCTTCCATCTGACAAACTAATTAACTTACCACATGCCTCTTGGTTTTATGCAAGTGATGTTTGTTTATACTTCTTTAGGCAATAACATTTCAAAGTAAAGTATTTTAAGCAAAGCTGTGTTTTGCTTCGTTTCTCAGCGTACACACACACACACACACAAAAGTACACACAAAAAAGCATAACAGAAATGGAAGGCAGCTACATCTGTTATGATCAATGGATTTAACAGACAGCGCTACTATTCTTAGGAGCCAAGTTTAGCTGCTCGCCTGTCTGAAACACTGTCAAAGACAGACTTCATTATATACCACCATCACTGGGGAGCTGTACTTCCTGTATAAAACATGATAGGCTTCTTAAGAACAACGTTTTCCGGATGAGAGGTGGTGAAAGGATGAACTCAAGTGGCTGCATTCTTTGCATAAATATTGATCAATATCTTTATAGCAAACTTCCATGTCAGATAATCAGATTGGCGCTGGAACATTGCAAAGAAATAACGTGATAAACGTCAGTATGTTTTTTCTCAGAAGAAGACAATGTACACAGGTGCCAGGAATACAGCAAGGTGAAGAACACCTAGAAAAGTCCTAAAAAGAGCTCACAGAAAGATCATGATTACAAAAACATCTAAAATCATTTAAGAAAAGTATAGCACAGGTTTCAATTAAGTACACTAGTGTAAGAAGATTGCTGAGAGTTTTTGGTACATTTAAAGTTTGAGTTCAAGACAAACTGGCTTGCAGCTTAGCTCCCCAACCCATTAAATATTTATATAATGACCTCATGCTTTGTGGCACACTGAACAACCAGAGAAGCACGAACAGACGGCAATCATACAAACAATATTCTTCTGGTGGGAAATATTGGGATGCTGTAAATAATAATCTACACTTTATATAAATATCAATAATGTATAAACACCATCTGTTTACTGCTATGCTACAGATATACAATTCTGAGAAGTTAATAGCTGATAAATGTTTAATTGCAGCAGGTGGGTTGTTTGTCAGTGTTGCCAGCTGGTGATGACTGTAGACAACCAACTGACTTGGTAAAACTCCCATCAAGTTGTGACAGCATTACTTGGCTAAACATGAATGTTGGGGGTGGGCTAAAGCACTAGCTGGGCAAATCCCATCATGAGCAAATTCTTAAGGTTGTCTTGGAAAATTTTGAGTAAAACCCCCCACTTATTTTTATATGAAAAGTTTAAAAGTAATAAAAAATTAACTTATATTTATCGTTTAGTTTAAAAAAAACAAAATCATAGGAAAACTGCTTATACAATGATACCACTTTAAACTATAAAGTAATGTAAATACATTTTAAGTGTTATCGCAAGTATGACTACAAAAAGAAATGTTCACAAAATAAGCGCCATAAATCATCAAATCACAATCACGATTGAAAGTAAATACTAAACAAATCACCCTGGCAAAACCAGACTAATACTGAAAAATAAAAATAAAAAACAGCAACTGTCTGATGTCAATCATCCAAGTACAAAAAAATATGTGACGACTTCAATATCAAGGCAATACCCATTAAAAATAAAAAAATAAATAAATAACATAGTTAACAAATGAAGCAAACATTGTATCGACTCAGACAAAAGTCAACACTGGCAAGAAAACAAGACAAAGAAATGCCTGAAACTCCAGTCAGACTGCCCATGAGAGAACTCGTGCACTTTTCACACAAAACATCTGAAAATCATATCCTTTAGTTTGTTTAAACTACTCTTTATAAACACGTATCTACTTATATTTGAAGCAACGTGCGATGTAAGAAGAAAAACACCTCACTACAGCCTTTCGACTGTCTACGCTGAGTTTGTTTACAAGGAGCTAGCTCGATGGCTAGTTCGCTAACAAGAGCTGCCACGTCCGTTAGAAGCCAAAAAAACTCTCCAGACAGCTAATGCTCACATTGACAGCTTTCCCTGTTCAGTTGTCTGGCTTTAAACGTGCCAAATAATGTCTTAGCGTAAGAAATAATGTCTCGAATTGAGAAAGGAAAGCTGTTCAGATTGAACTCCTCTGTTGTTTGGACAGCTAGAATTAGCTGCTAACTGGCAGGTTACATTCAGTGAGGTGCTAACGTTACGCTGAGAAAGTACATGGTGAAATTTAAAAGCTTAAAACAAGCCGATAGACAACAATAAAATTTAACAGTGAAAAACACGAACTGTATTATTCACCTGCTCCGGTTACCTGAGGAGGAATTGCCGCTCAGGGTGATAGAAAACAGTTGGAGTTAGAGTTTCTACTCAGCTCCCCTCCAGCCCGAAGCAGTACTGACCGCGCCGCGGCTGCTGGAGGACCAGGCTCGACTCACCAACGTCGATGGGAGGAGTTCAATTCTGACGCAAGTCGCATGAGCGCCAGTCATCCAATCAGATGAGTCAATGGAAAAAGCCGCCCAATCAGCGCCTGCTAGGAAAAGACGAAGTTATGCTTTTGTAGTTTTACCCAAACCAAAGGTTTAAAATACCAAGAAATTGAAGTATTGCGTAATAGCTCAGGTGGACCACACAAATCTTATAAATATGTGAAATTGAATGTAAAGTATGCTTTTATTTATTGAAATTAAAATATGTCGATTAATATATAATTAAAAAAGTAAACTTTAGCCAATAAACACAACTGCCATTTAGTTAAAAACATGTTCAAGCATAGGTCATTGTTTGAAACAAACGTGAATACTAGTAATCGATTTTATGACTGTTTTACAAGAATGGAGCAACATTTCCACATTTGGTATTTAGGTCAAAGTGGTGTGGTATTCGTTTGCTTGGCACGTCTGCCACGTGTCTATCTGTTAAGCGGAAGTTGTGAAAGAAGCACAAGTAAAATTAACACTATCTGCCCTCTCTGCTGCACATGCGAGTGTATCCATAAAGGTTTCATGCCAGAATACATATGAACTCACATCCAGATGAACTGCCATTATATGATTTGCTCTCATTGCACAATTGTGCAAATGTGAATGTTTTGTTATGATGCAAAGCTTTGGCATCAGTGTGTTGCTCAACTCAGTCCAGCTCAGGAAAGTTTCATGAGTCTGGCTGATCAGGTCTATGGACTCACCGTTGAGCAGGTTCCACAGCTTTTCTTAAAGAAATACTTAATTCTTCACTGTTTCTGGAAACCTTTTGATAGGAGCCAGTCTGAATTTTTGAAATGTTGCCTTCTTTGCTGATGGTATCATTTGTTTGTGTTGATTCTCAGTGGTGTCAATAGAAAACTTTGACCCAAGCTGTCTTGTGAGGAACAACTTCTACATTATTAGTAAGTTGTCATTCGAAATTACGCACAGTGCTCTACTTAAACTCAACATCTCCAGAAACTTTAATAAATCAACACAAGAACCACTAAAATACTTTTTCTGTCTTAAAATATCCCAGTTTAATCAATGTATTTATTTATTTTTCAAACATAAGTTTTAGAAACATGTATTTTTTTTTTTCATGTTGGCTCATTAGTCAAGATAAGTGACGTGGAGCTGGATCTTCTCTCTGCCAAAGTCCATTTGTGACTGACAGCCTCAGGTCCGAGCCAAAGGCCACATATACTTGACCACATAACCAAGCTGTGATATAGATTTTTGTATTGATATTTAAATTTAACTTCATGCTTCAGTTCAGTCACACCAAAAGAGTATATAATACATTTATACCTGCTAAACTTCCTCTTTTTAAAGAAATCAGATCAAATCAAGAGACATTTGATCTGAAATTTGCAAAAATATGATTTAAAATTTTGAAGTGTGTGTGGTTTTTTTTTTTTTTTGCTTTCAGCTGACGCAAATGTGCTTATTTCTCTTGACTGAAGCAATAACAGGACTGAGGAAAGGCCTTCAGCTAAGCCAACTTTCACTGAACTCACTGAGGTGGTGTAACCAGTTTCTTTGCATAACCTTGATTTCTTCTTGCATCACAGCAAATCCAGCATTAAATGTTTTTGTTTCTTTTTCTGTGTCTAAAAGTATTTGTTCTGATCACAAGATGGAGGATGTTTTTAAAAACGACCAAATAGAGATTTCTAAAATGTGTTTTATAATAGTAATGCAGACAGGAAATGTTCTAAATTTTTGCATCTTAATGGAAAACTCCTCTGTCCTTATTTCTGAATGACTCAGTTTCTTCGTTACGTTTTATTTCCTACTAAAAAACTGAATTAGTCGGATAATTTGTCATTAGTTTTCCTTGATAAACGTCAAACCTGAAGCAAAACTCGCCTAAGGAATCCTAATTTTTAAATCAAACTTTTGTCGTCACACTTTAAAAACGTTAATAATCATGACTAAAAACCTATAAATTGAATTCATTTTCAATAGATTGTTAATGCTATTTTTAAATAAAATCTTTTTATTACAATCAGAAAAAAATCCTATAAAGTTTACAGTGACTACATAAAGATGTGTTTTTCTTGGTATTTTTCCATCCCCTGTCAGGTTTTTAAGGCGTGAGAAAGACTGTGAAGCTATTATAATTTTTACATAGCATCAGGTTCTAACATGCTAACCACACCTGAGAACAGGTTTATGACAATAATTTATACTTTTTTATGAAGCAAGCCCAAAGTCGTGTTCACTTATCTACTGGACTTTAATATCCATGGAAAGTAAATTTACACAGAAGCTATTGTTATATGGCATATTTTATGATTGTTTACGCTGATGTTTGGATGTATACAATCATTTCAAGCTTTTCTGAGAATTTCCTATAAAAGAAGAAAAATGTGTTGATTTTATAGTAAAACCAGCCACATTATCAGATATTAACCCTCCCACTGTTCTTATGGGTGTGACCCCATGAGGAAAGTTGACCATTGAGCAGGATTGATGGTTTATCCCTTGGGTCCAAGTGGCAGGGGTGAGGAGTGAGCACCACCTCCCCCCTGCCACGTGGACCTCAAGGGATAAACCATCAATCCTGCTCAATGGTCAACTTTCCTTGTGGGGTCACCCATAAAGACAGTGAGAGGGTTAAAGGTGTGGTTGACTGAAAAAACATTTCTTTATGATTATTTCTGATCATAATCAGTCACTCAAAGTTTTTCATGCAGGTTGAACATGAAAATAGTCTCCTACACCTATCTCCTGCGGTAGCTTCTGGTAGAAAATAGATGGTGAATTGCAATGATTTGAAAATCCTCACAATGTGATGTCACACTGTGAATTTGCATGGACTCATCTTGAATCGCGCCTGCTAACAGGAAGGCTTTTAAAAACATTTTTACAGTGAGGAGAGAGTGCCGAGTGTGTTGGTGATAGTGACTTTGCAACATGGCTGAACGTGTTCTGTTAGCCAATCAGAAGCGAGGTGTGTGCAATAATAATGAACAGTCCTGCTGTTTTCAGCCGACCTCTGCTCCAGCAAACTTCTGCATCTCAGAACAGGAGCATCGTAGTTTTTTAATGACTCATAAGGCATTATACACTAGAGAACACTGTAAATGAATTGAATAAACAAGTAAACCACACTTTAACCATCAAACCATGAAATCAGCCTAAAATCTATCAAATAAAGATGTCTATTAAACCGTAATCTAGCTCACCTGCTTGCAGGTTGTGAGAGAGGATTCAGGAAATGTAACGCATCCCTCTGGAAGAAAATCTGTGTAATTTATTCTCCATAACTCTTAGGTTACAGTGGCGTGTCCAGATCTTTTAGAATGGGGTGGCCCAGGTGAGACTCTACTTTGTGCATATGTGGCACCAGTGGTTATGCTTTTTTGTTTTACCTCAAGCCTTTTGTGCACAATGAAAAGCCTATTTAAAGGAAATTCAGTGTGGTGACACCTGGGGTGGCCAATCAGATTCCAAGGGTGGCATGTGCTACCCCAGGCCACTCCCTGGACACGCCCCTGAATTTGAAGATATTTCTTTGAAGTCAAGATAAATGTGTTGCTCTTGTGTGTGAGACTCTTTTTGGCCTCAGAGTTGTTTTGATCCTTCATTGCTACACACCTGGTCCCAAGAGCATACCTTTAACTCAGCTGCAACATAAAGACAGCGGTGTAGGAGAAAAGCTCTCATGTGTCTGTATTCAGTCCTCCTCTGTTTGCAGCTCAGTCAGAATAAAACATAACTGTATTTAGCCTGTTGAATCCATACATGACAGGAGAAAAGGGTCAACGGGCAGAATGGGTTGAGACCTGACATAGGATGGGGTGAAAAAACACAGAATTGATGTAGAAATGGACCGTCCAGCTCACAGTGTATCTTTGAAATCTGCAAGAGCATCCCAGGAAGATTAGATATTCAGGTTACTCCGGTCTGCTCCCAAACCCGTAGAAAGCACACGGATAAGTGGCTGAGCATCATTTTGTGTTTGACCCGAGCTGTGTTTGTGTTGGGGGGACTACAAAGACAGAGCAGCCGACTCAGAAATTAGCTTTGAACGTGTCATTTGTGTGTGTAAAACAAAAAACTGTTCTTCACTTGTGCTAATCCAGACCTGTGAACATCTCAACTACAACAGCTGTCAGTTAATCCACCAAAGACACGTGCAAGATGTCCCTGTGCAGCTCGATTCTATCAGTGTGCTGAAATGCGGTGAAAATGACTTTCCTTTGACGTGATAAATGGTCCATTATGGGATGCAAGATATTCTCAGCCTTTTGCAGACAAGCTGTTCTCTTGCTCCTACAAGGAGAGAGAAATGGTCTCATTGCTCAAAGTCCACTTCAGCTGAAATAAAGGAGATAAGCAGAAAAAGATGAATGCACTTTTCATAACAGTTCAGCCCAGAGAAGACCAATAACTGTCAATAAACTGGGTTTTTAGGACACCTAAAGGTCCTTCACCTGCCTCAAAGAGAGTGATGATGCAATTTGAACAGGTTTGGTGAGAAGCTGGGGTTCCTAGAGGACTTTTATTAGTCTGGAAACAGGTTAAATAAACTATCATTTTAATTCGGTCAGGTTTTCATTCTAAAAGCACAAAAAATGTTAATTTATTTCAGTTATAATAGCCTTAACCCTCTCAGGCTCTAAATAAGTTTTGATAAAAGGACGAACAACTAAGTCCTTCAGGGGTACTTCTGAGTTAAAAAATGCTCATGAAATACGCACGTGGAGTAACCAGGTAGGTAGGTTTTAACGTTGCACATCTGCAACGCTTGCCTCCAGAGGGTTAGATACCTTTTTTTCTTTTGAAGGAATTCAAACGGGCGACATCACAGCAACCAACACAGCAGCAGATGGCTGTCAGGTGAGGAGGATTAGATGGACCTCCAGATTACACTTTCACTAGTCTAATCCTCACAGATAAAAATTGGAGGCACATCAGGTGATCAACAGTAACTGAAGGCACAGTTAGCCACTTATCCAGTTCTAATAAGCAACATCAGCGGGTCTGTGGCAAAAAGCAACACCAGAACACAGACCGCCTTCTGTCAGGTGAGCAGGATTACATGGAGATACTCTAGTACTGCGGGTCGATCACGCTGCTCAGGTCAGTTGTCTAATCCAATTACCTGCACGCAGCTGCGAGTAATGGGATTGTTAGGTGCTGATCCGATTAACCTCGACTGTGCTCCACAATTAGACCTAAGCATTTAACGGGCTGTTGGAGAAATTAAACATTTAAATATATGTACAACTTATTGTCAAATAGAGAAAAAAACAGTATGTGTGTGTGATCTCTCGTGAATTCGGACAATTAGTGAAATGGTTTGGGATTTCAAAAGAGGAGAACATGGACAAGCTGTCTGACCATCTGTTGGGATCAGCAGTCCCAACAAGCCGAGAGCAGAAATCAAACAGAACACACACACACACACACACACACACACGCACGCGCACACACACACACACACACACACACACACACACACACACACACACACACACACACACACACACGCACGCGCACACACACACACACACACACACACACACACACACACACACACACACACACACGAGAGATCAACAAAAGCCAGGAAATCCTGATGAAGGATCATCGGGAATGAATGAATTAATCAATTTTACATAAAAATACAAGAAAAGTATTTATTTTGTAGCTCTAAAATACTTTTATATAGCAAAAAAGATTCTGGTGAAGGTTCTCCGTCATATGAGCGTGACCCTAACCCCCATATTCAAGTCGGAGTTGACAAAGCTCCTCAGATGAGAAGCAGGACATCTTCAGGAAACCAAAGAAATCCAGCTGCTTTCATTTGAACCCATTTTGATCAAAAAAGATATTGAAATCTTCTCACTATACATTTCGTTATCAATGAACACAACAGATCCTCCACCATCTTTTAAAGAGTGTATTAATCCAGAATGAGTTCTTACTGTGTTTTTGCCTGATTAAATAAAGGTTGAAAATCATCACTGAGAACATTATCTATGGAAGGAGAGACATCCGAAAACATTTTAGCAAACATTGTCTTTTTGTGGCTAACTCTCTGTAGTTGTAGTTATGTGTGTGGAATCCAGTTGTTGCATTTCAGAATAACGCCAACAGAAACAATGTGGAACAAGAACGTGGAAAAAAAAAAACTCAAACACTTCAGGCAAAGAAGATGTCACAGATTCCAAACACACGTCACATTTTAATCATAAAACAACTTGAAACATTCAGTATTTGGATGTTTTCTGACCACTGGGATATGTTAAAGGTGTTGAACACGTGTTTAATCAATACAGGAAGTAAGAAGGAAATGCCTTGCAAGTCGTACTCAGGGGACAAAAAGCCCAGAAGTGCCTGGATCAGCATGGACAAGTCTGTTGCAGCAGAGAGTGGCAGCAGACGGCAGAATTTGGAGTCTTATTTCCTAATATTTGGATATCTTACCTCAGATTGGATAAGAGCGATGCAAATCTACTCCTAACTCCATTAGCTCTATGACATGGATGTTTTCTCTCCACAAGTAACACAAACCTGGAGGAACTTCTGCCGTGTGGTTGAGTTGCTAATGCTAACAGTTAGCATCTGCCAGTCGAGACATTCAAAGCGCTTTCCAGGATGCTAAGTAGAGTGTTCAGGCATGTCTAATCCTAGTGTTTCACTGTCGAATGTTTATCAGAAGCTAAAGCAGGAGATAAGTGTAGGAGGCCATTTTCATGCTCAGCTTGTTGAAAACCTCAGAGTGACCGATTATAATCAGAAATAATCATTACTTCAGTGTTCAACACCTTTAATGTAACACGGATTAATAAAAAATATTCGTGCTGAGCCATCCTAGAGCTTCAGCCACTTTTTCCATCATAAAACCTCATTTCCTTTTCCATGGAATGACGTCCCATTCCTGTTAGGCAACAGAAGCATAATTTTCCAAAACAGCCGCCTAATAACAAAGATCTCTTTGTGGTTGTGGTGTTTGTGGGAAGCAAATCGAACATGTCGGCCTGCTCGCATTTAGATGTTTCCCAAAGAAGTGCAGAAGACGGGAAATGTTCAAAGACTACTTTATCAGGGGAATAAACAATAATATGTTTATATAAAACACAGAAAACACGACAATTATAAACAGTAATAAAATATATTTTTGATCTAATCTTTAAAATATAGCAGTCCAGTTCTGTTTTCTCACATGTTCATCTTCTAAATGCACATTTCTGACTTTGTCCTCTTTGTGTTCATCATAACCTGCACCTGTCATTCAAAACAAACCAGAACAAGTGATAAATCATGGCACCTTAAACTTAAATCAGCCAGATGGACGTGGCAGGGCTCCGTCCTCACTTCACACTTTGTGCGACACGAGATGAAGAGGTCCACTCACTCCAAACACATCTTCATCAGGGCAGATGTGGCACATTATTCTCACTAACGGAGGGTTTGTTGATGAGGGTTGTGGAGCCGGACTGCCGAACACAAGCTGCTTATTTGGACGACCGCAAAGTCAAGACGGCAGTGAGCAGCAGGCCTCATTACCCTGCTAACAGACGTAGCTGTCGGGTCATGGGGACAGGAACGCAGGGTGTTGGTTTGGGCTGAGGGGTGTATTCCCAGGACTTCCTGAGAGTTGAATGTTATTTCCACTTTGCTTTGCCATCACATAAAATCACCCTTTTCTATGAAACAGCGCACAAATTGTGTCTTTTTCCCCAGGTAGTTATAAGTTGCTTAATTCCTGGTGCTGAGATGAGAAGACGCTCCGGAATCCCAGATCTTTGATAAAACACCAAACAATAAACAGAATCCGATTGCTGCAAACTTCAAACCGTGATGATTTAAAATGCCTCCTAAAACAGTTGTGCATTCATTTATTATTTAATTCTATATTCATTACATTTTTTCCCTCTCACTAATCAAAGTGTCCCCTTTTAAATCATCCAGCTCCCGCGTCTGGTCCATTCCTCCTTGTGTCCTTGTTTGCTCATAGCCGTTTACTTCCTCCTTTAGTCAGGACAGTGATCAGATAAATGGACGTCTTTTCATCCATCTATTGTTCAGCTGTTTACATTTTAAAACAAAATAACTAGCTGCACAGATGTTCTGCAGCTGTTTTTCCTTCATGTGAAATAGTTGGGGACTTCTAGGAAAACTGAGCAAACAAAACCTAGAAGAAATCCCCCCGCTCCCCCGTCTCCATCACACACCCACCTCCCTCACCCCTGCCACCTGCCAAACTGGCATTCAGGTGCTATTTGCACACAAACTGGTCCACTAGTGTGGTGCAGCGTTTGCACTTGACGTAGCAGCACCAGTGGAACTTGCAGTGGCAGCGCTCATGCTTGTAGGTCTTAAACTGGTCGTACCCTCGACCGCAGCACATCAGCTCGCAGCCGTCCATGCCCTCTGATGTTTTGTTGCAGAGTCGGCCTTGCGTGCCCAGCGAGCCCGTGGTCTCGTTTCTGAGGCAGTAGTCCGGGCTCGGGTCGATGTAGACCATGTCCTCAGGTGTCGGGTTGTTGAAGCGCTTGTCTATGAGCTCCAGCTTCCCCTGTTGGGACAAGATAAGAAGTTAGATCAACATTTGAGGTACTTACAAAAACAGGCTGCTCAGTGATGATGCAGCACCTTGCGTCCAACCCGCATGGCTGCAGCGCTGTCGTATTTCTCTTTGAGAAACTCCCCGACCCTCCTGAAGTCCGCCAGTTGGAGCCAACATGTTTTCAGGCTGCAGGAACCGGAGACGCCATGACACTTACAGGAAACACCAGCAAGGTTGTAGACTGCCTGGTGGAGTCACAGAGACATAAAGATACTGCTTGGATCTATTTTGTTACGAAAATCTATCAACACTAATATGACTTGAATATAAAAACAAATGGAAAGCAATCATTACATGAAAGGCAGATTTTTTTGTTATTGGTTTACAGAAATAAGTTTCCTGCTACAACTCCACCATCTAGTGGTGAAAAAACATATCTGTTACAGAGCTGCACCACTCAAGGGCGTTTCCCTACAAAAATGGCTTCATAAGTCAACAAATCAGTCTAAATGTTACGTCTTTTGGCTTTGCCGAGCAACACATTACAAGAGAAGATCAAATGGAACACAAAGACTTTGGCTGCATGTTTCCTTCTTTCCTTTGGTGTTAAGACAACGGCACCATTTAATAAGAGTTGCCGCACAGATTCTCCTGCACAGCTTGTATTTCAGTGTTTCACAGTCGTGGACACCTGAATTACAGGAATGAAAACATACGCTGCACCCATAAAGTTCCAGTCAGAATGAGAGCGATTATTTGAAAATCTGTTCTGAGGTCTGTAAAATCCCATTTTGACTTTTGTTTTGTGTAATCCTATCCTCTGTGTCCTCGGGGCTCGAGAAAAGAAGAGCTTTGCTGAGTAAACACTTCAAAAGCTGGAGTCATTTACAATAAGAGGCTGCACAAATCTTCATCATATTGCATGATTGCACATTTGTGAATAAACCATTTGTGCACAAAAACTAAACAAGCGTCTAGTTTAACCAAACTAATAACAGCGTGGAATAATGGTGAGAAGATCCACAACGAAAGATTTTTGCTCCTAAACTTTTACTACAAGCAATAAAAAAACTTGTCATGCACTAAAACCATTTTTGGCAATAGTTAATTAAATAGAAATAAAATAAATTACTCCTGATTGTTGAAAATTCAAATGAAATAAATACAAGGACCATTTTCCTTTAAGATCTTTCTCATTTCCAAACCTGCACCCACTTAAGTGTTGGTAAAAAGAAAAGCTAAGCTACAATTTTGAATGACATTTTTCAAAAGGTACAAAAAACCATTTCCATTGTTTGATATTCTTTGAGTTACGTTTCAAAATGATCTGTCAAATAGGAACATGAAACATTTAAAGCATATGGCTTTGTTTAAGATAGAAAACAGAGCAGGAAATAGACGATTTACGATCTCTGCAGCAGTAAAGCCTGCAGCTTTAGCAGGTCACTTAAACAACATTTAATAAACAAGTCACATAACACCCCCCTAAAAAAACACACATAAATCACACACGGTCACTATTACAGCATTGTGTGTGTGTGTGTGTGTGTGTGTGTGTTCATCGATGCCACCGACACACATTAACATGTATTTTCTGAACCAATTAGCTGTGATTCCTAATTTCCCCCTGACTAATGAAACCCATCACTGTCTCCTCCTCACATTGCCTGATCTCAATTACCTTCTCACCTCTGTTAACCTCTGCATCTCGCACACCCTCTGACCCCACCCTCTGGTCTCTGTCCTCTACTTTACTGCCCAGCAGGCATAGCAGTCGGCGCTCTCCAATCCCAGGATCTGACCTCGATGACCCCCCAAACAGAGACGGGGAACAATGACGTTTTGTTTCAGAGTTAAAAATAAAGTTTGGACATTTTTAGATTTTAATTTTAAACACATTTATTTCACAATTATCTGTGATGGAGCATCAGCTGTGTGTCTTGACGTGTGTTTGTTTTTGTATAGGCACAAATAGAGGACTCAGTCCTGGTTTTGTGGTGAGACCAGCAGTAAACTGACATGTATCTTAGCTTCACTTACATTGACTTTATTCTTCTTTTAGCATAAAACGTCCCTTTATTCCATGTTTCTGACGATCTGATTTTTAGATTCTACATCTGTTTCTAATTGTAAAAATTATTTGTGTGTTTTCGTGCAGTTTTTCCCATCAGTTAGTAGACAAAAATAAATCCTAATTTAAAGTGATTAATTTGTTATAATTTAATTATTTTTGAATTCATGAATTATGAATGATTCATAATTTAAAATGAGTCAGATTTAGTGACATGTAGTGGTGAAAATAAATGTTATTTACAATTTTTATACATAAAATTGTATATAAAACTGTTGTTGTTTATTTACAACAGCGAGCTTCATTCACTACAATCTATTTTAAACCTAATGTAGTTAGATTAGTTTTTCTGCATGACTTACTATTGAAAGTGCCAATTTTAATTTCTTACCTATCAATTATAACTGGTAGAGAAATCTACACAAAATGTATTCGACTTTTTAAAATCCATCCATCTTCTGAACCTGCTTGTCCATGTAGGATTGCGGGGGGGCTGGTGCCTATCTCCAGCAGTCAAAGGGCAATCAGGTGGGGTACACCCTGGACAGAGAGCCAGTCGATCGCAGGGCAACACAGAGACACACAGGACAAACAACCATGCACACACACACTCACACCTAAAAACAATAGACAGACCAATTAACCTAACAGTCATGTTTTTGGACTGTGGGAGGAAGCCGGAGTACCCGGAGAGAGCCCACGCATGCACAGGGAGAACATGCAAACTCCATGCAGAAAGATCCCAGGCCGGGAAGCGAACCCAGGACCTTCTTGCTGCAAGGCAACAGCTCTAACCACTGAGCCACTGTGCAGCCCATACTTTTTAAAATGTTAGGCAAAAATAAGTGTATAGCTCTTTTTTGTTTAGATTGATATATATTCTAATTACAGATGCTACACTAATAAAACACAGGTATGCATATAGAAAAAATGCTGGAAGTGCTGCAGGGGTGTAAGAAATCTTATCTGGTGCTCTCACTGGTGCTCTTCAGCCAAGGGATCCACATAAATGTTGGCAAAAGGAGATCTGAGGCACTCAGGAGATAGAAAAATAAAAAGCCTTTATTAGTACATGGCTCAAATAGTTAAAAACATAAATGCCGACGCGTAGGATTGTTTAGATGTTAAAAGATTTTTGTGTTATACTGGTCATTCAATCATAATGCTGTCTACCTGCCATCAGCAGGTGTCATTGATTGGCCTTCTTAACATGAAAGTGAGAAAACATACAAACATTTTGAGCCCTGACGAAGGCCCTATGGGCTGAAACTCGTCGGCATTTATGTTTTTAAATATTTGAGCCATGTACTAATAAAGGCTTTTTGTTTTTGTATCTCCTGAGTGCCTCAGATCTCCTTTTGCCAACAGGTACGCATAGTAAGCATCCTTCCTTTGAACTGCCAAAATCTGAAATTGTGTCCAGTAGGACTTTAAACTTATGTTGTGGAATTAAAAGGAACAATAATTAAAAACGCTGCAGTGAAATAATCACAAAACAGTCTGATGTCCTAGTCATGTTTGAAGAAAGGCTACTTTGAAGCAAATTTCCTTCTCAACTGGCTGGGGACTGTAGTAACCACATCTGACCACCAGATGTCGTTCTTACTTCATTATTACACATTGCACCTTTAAGCAAAACTGTATAACCGGTCCATACTTGCTCTGTCATTGTTATTTATCTTATTTATTACTGAGGTCCCATAGACACGTACACACAGACATCCAGTTTGTCCTCTGTTCACATGCATTACATATAGCTGCACCCACACACACACACGCACGCGCGCACACACACACGCACACACACACGCACGCACGCACGCACACACACACACACACACACACACACGCACACGCACACGCACACACACACACACACACACACACTTGTCTTGTATCCTTGTATGAACTGTCCATTGACTTCCATTCATTTTTAGGACTCCACTATGCCTTACCCATGCCCTAACCATAACCAATGCTGTTCTATTCCTAACCCTGACCGAAACTCAAAGGTAATTCACACCAAACCTCTAAAACTACATTTAAGGGTATTTTGTCATTGTATGGACCAGCTAAATATCCCCACAATGTCGATATGTCCACACACTACAGGTTAAAAGTTAAAATACGTCCACGTAAGCATATAAAGACAAGTACACGCACACACACACACACTGCGGCACACCCCTGTCGCCGCTACAAAAGCCCCATAGTTTGCCTAGTTCAGCCATGCAAGACAAATCCAGCTTAGGAAAAACCAGCATGTCCTCGGAAGAAAGACAGAAAGGGGGGAGGGCAGAGGGAGGAGGAAAGAAATTGTCTTCCTCTCCACCTTTTCATCTCCCTCTTCTCCTCTCTTCCGTTTCAGTGGGCCGACAACAATGAAAGTGAAGGATCAAACAGGAGGCAGGAGGAAAAGTCATTCAAAAAGAGTGTGTACGTTACACAAGAGTGTGCGTGTGTGTGTGTGTGTGTGTGTGTGTGTGTGTGTGTGTGTGTGTGTGTGTGTGTGTGTGTAAGCATGTGGCAGTACATCTTTTTCTCATACAAACTCCTACAGCCCCAAAGGGCCCCTGAGCAGAAACACAACCTCTCCAAACCTCACCTTTGACCTCTGACACACACAAACCTGGGTTCACTGTCTCTCACACAAATCACACGAAAAGAGTGTGTACTGGAAAAAAACACACACACACAACGTCTCCGACTTGTAAACAAGTTCAACAAAGCTACCCATTCTGCAAGATAAGCACAGCCTTCTGAACCAGTCTGCACCCAAACAGGAACATTATATGTGAGAGAGAGAGAGAGGGGGGGGGGGGGGGGGAGAGAGAGAGAGAGAGAGAGAGAGAGAGAGAGAGAGAGAGAGAGAGAGAGTGTGTGTGTGTTCATTGCCCAGACACAGATTTCTTTTTAGCCAATAGCATCCTCAGATTGTTGATTGCTGTAATCACCATAAAATGTAAATTACCCAAATAATCAGAAAAGGTTGATAAATCAAGTCATCCTAACGTTTTGTTCGCTGTGTTTCATGATTTTATTTTCATTTTTACATCTGTCTGTGTGTATCTGTGCTTTTATGTACCTTTGTGTAAGGGGTTGTGTGTTACAGTCCTGGAATGCGCTTTGACCTCTTGACCCTGCTAGACTCCAAGGGCGTTAGCAGCTACACCATTTGTAGGCCCCCAATAAATAACCCCCCCCCCACACACACACACACACACACACACACACTCTGCTGGAGAAGGCCACCTCCACTTTCACACACATTCCTGACAGACACACAGATTTAGAACATGTTTAAAAGATGAAGCACGTTTTCTTTAGCCAAGCTCAAACAGCACAACTTCAGTTTCTATGGAAACCACGATGAACATACCTGCCTCCCTGCTTCGTTATTGTGCAGGTTCATGAGGGTTCGGGAGTGCTCCCGTGACCCACGTGGGTAATTCTTCTCCCTTTCCCTGGCGTCGACAAACTCTCGGGCGAACCTGTAGCCGTAATGCACGTTATCACCACAGCCGCCCCACAGCCAATCTCGTGGCAGCTCACGGGGCCGAACGGCCCGGCTGCAACCGCAGGTGGAGAGCTCGCCCTCACGACACGCCCGGCTGATGGCGTTGACTACGCCGGCTGCACTGATGGCGTAGGTAAACGCGGTCTCCCTAGAGCCTGATGGAGAAGGAGGTACAGAATAAAATTTGTTGTCACAGATGGACACTTGTGACTTTCTTCTTCACTGAAGAATAAAAGAAACCAAAACTGGGACATATGAAACAGGATCAGGTTCAAGGCTGGACCAAGTAAAATGACAGTGATGATATGTCTAAAATAAACTAAATTTATGACATACATTTATTTCAAATATAGTAAATAAAACATGACCAGACGTGATTCTTCTTTGTCATTTACTGAAATCATCAGAATCCTGTTTTATACATTTATTTGAATCAGGAGTTAATTCAGTTAGATTTGACTTTGAACTTAGTTTATGAAGTTGTTGTTCTTTATTAAACCACTAATAGAAAACCAGAGCTATTTTACTTCCATAAACATTTTTATGCTGTAGAGCAACACGGGGGACATGCTAGCGCTTATGCTTCACAGCACAAAGGTTGCAGGTTCAAATCCCAGCTGTGGAGTAAGCATATATGTGTGAGTTTCCCTCCCAATGCTCTGGTTTCCTCCCAGAGAAAAGAAACATGCACGTCAGGTTAATTTGTGTCCCTGTGATGAACCTAAGACACGTCCAAGGTGTCCCCATGTCCTGATTGGGTGAGTGGGGGATTATCAAATACTGTTGTAATAACACTTGCATTATAATGATATTTTTAGAATATCTGGTGCATCTGATAATGGTTTGTGGTTGAATAAGCTGCAGGGGCTAAAGTGTGCTCCTGTCGATGACAAAACCTTAAAAAGCATCTTTTAAAATGGCAATGAACTTCAAACATCGAGAACTGGACACATGTAAAGTTTTGAAAACAAATAACGTGGATTATTTTTAAAATTCTTGTCGAATTGAAACTGTTTTTGTTTCAGCTGCATCAGATGGCATGTATGATGATGTAACGTAAATAATACAAAAAAAGCCTAATAAATAACTGATTTGCTTCTGAAGATTATTTTCTAGGCCAGCTCACAATGTTGTTTTATGAAACTGATAAAAAACATCTTTAAGTACAAGAATCTCCATGTAAATGAGCTGAATACACACTTTAAAAAGGAAGAATAAACGTTTTAGAGTTCACTGAAAAGACAAAAGCAGCGTCCTGAACCTGCTTTGTTTATTAAATCCGGTTTTTATTCCAAAGTTTGTAAAAAACGATCCATAATATTTAAAACCTAAGTTACTATTTGTGGCGTTTCAACATTTTAACTGTTCAGAAATAATTAGAACCCCCCCCCCCCCCCCCCCCCCAGAGACGTGATTGTTTACGCGGGGCAGGAGTCAGCAGCAGCCAAACAGCAGGGCGATTTTATCCGTCAACTTTTGACTTGAGCTTCAGGTTTATGAGACTTTAAAGACGCGACATCAAATAGCAGGTCCGGATCTGCCGGCTCCATGTCAGCTCATCAGCGCATTTCAAAGTACAGCCGCGGGACAATGGAGGGACTCACACCTCCATATAAACCCGAGGACGGAGAGGGACAGAGACGGGAGGGAAAGAGACAGACAGACTGCAACCACCGCGTCTGGCTGCATCTCGCAGCGGATTTCACACATACGTGTTGATGAGACGTTTCCCACACCACCTGCTGGGAATTAGACGCGCTGGATCTGATCCAGGATCAGTTTTATCCAAATTACGTAAAGTTATGAACCGGTTGTAGTTGCGTCTTTACGCGCGACTTCAGTCTGCTCAACTCCACGATGAGTTTAGTTGATGTCCTTTTCTTTCTGCGCGTGCGCAAAGAAGTTTCTTTTCATAAAGGTAACTGTTACGCAAATTGTCTGAAAATGGATATAAAAACATTTTTCGATTATTAAGTCCCACATTTATGTTTTTAAACAAGTTAATAATTTTAAAACGTGGTCATTTTGTTTTGAGACATGTTGAGGTGCGTTCTCTATTTAATTGTAGCTGATCAGAAAATAAATCCTGAAACTGGAGCTAACTTTGTAAGCAGCTGATAAATTCAGCAGCACAGGGTGTAAATGAACACATTCACTTAGATTTTGTTATCGGACAGGAGGCCTTCTGCAAAACAAGTTCCTTACTTTCTGGAAATGTTATATTTTCATGCAAAAATGGCTAATAAAGCACCATGAACCTTTGCCAATTCACTCGTGTGTCTTGGGTTAGATGTCTCATTAGTGTTGATAAACAGAAGATTATGAAGCCATTTGGAGACACTTGTAAAATGACAGCCTCTTCAACACCTCTCAGATTCCCTGATAACATCATGCTCTCACTTGGCTGCCAACTCACCGATGTGCATGACCCGTCCAAACACAGACGTATTGTCCACCGTGCTGCAGTTCCACCGCCTCTGCCTGAACTGGTACTGGCACTCCTTGATGCCCGTCTTGGCTCCATCTCCAATGTAGGTCATGTGATCTTGGTACAGCTGGCACAGCTTCCTCTGACTCTGCAGCCCACACAGCAGCAAAGAAGAGGAAAGATTAGCACAGATTAGTTGGCTCAATACTTTGGTCCCTGCAGGGAGATTCCCACTTTGTTTGACCACTTCAAGTAGATATGGAGCCGGTAGATGAGAAATCACTGCTGTAAGTGTCTGTTTCCTACTCACCTGTGAAAGACCAGAGAGCTGACTGCAGAGAGGCTGAGCTCCAATAATGTACATTTCAGGCCGCTGAATTGGGTTCAGACCGAGGGACCTGAAAAACAGAGGACAGGTAAGTCAGAATTTAAGGCAAAGTGATGCTTAGATAGTGAAAAAGAGCCATGGACAGACTGAGCTCCCAACAGAAGACAAAACTCAGACACAACTTTGTATTTGGGACAGGTGGCCAATAAAACTCAGATAAACAGACTCCTGAGGAGAACAACTCTGCACTCTGCAGCTTCCTTTCCTTTACTCCAAATAACATTTTCGATGCCGCTATGCTGCACACGGTAGTTTCTAAATCAGGAACAAGTGTGTGGATAATTGGGGCCCCTGGAGGCGCTGCAGCAGGCCGCCATACCATGCCATTTGGAGAAGAGCCAGGGTAAATATTGTGACAGGGTCTTCACATTTGTTCCATTCACCTCCAGCGCCTCATCAACGCACCACCACGCGCAACTCCAAACCCCCAAACCGCACAGACGCAAAGGGAAGACTAATCTTCTGTAAATAGACTTTTTTGGGTATCTGGCTGCATGCAATATCTGATCGTTTTATCTGTATTTCATTTCATCATTCAAAGTTTAATTTGACTCACCACCATGAGTTTGCATCCACTAGGAGTTGGGAGCTGCAGGCCAGGAAGACGGCCGCCAGCAACACATGTCGGACAGCACCGGCTCGACTTCTCGGGACAGGGCCGTTCTCCATGATTATCACCTCCAAACAGCCAGCGCAAGGTAGAGCGCTCCTCTGCTGAGACATAAGCGGAAAATAAGCGCGTCCTGCCGGCTGAGAGCGTTTCTTTTAAAGGCCGAAAGCTGCAGCAAGTTTGCGTCCCGTTTATTTTAATTATCCTGTTGGAAACTGAAAAAAAGAAATCTGCCCCAATTATCCTTCAGCCTGCGCTGCTTCTTTCTCGTCTTTAAAAAATATTCAATCAAAAATAAAAAGTCGATTCCAGATGTAAATTTGAGCAAGTTCCATTTAAAATTACTCAAAAGTCAATACATCAACTTGTCTAAATCTCACCAAACCCCCCGTGCGTAAAGTGGTTTGGATGTTTTTACGCAAAATGCCCCAAACTTAGAATTCAGCTGCGTTCAAGTTATAAAAAAATCCATCTTAAATCAAGAAGTGGAGCCAACGTTTCTGTCCTTCCTGTCCCTCCCACGGACTGTCGCTCTGTCTCCTTCACAGTCTTTAAGTTTACACTCCTCCTCTTCTTCACACCCCGCTCCGGAACCTTCTCCCCCTCCTCTCTCTTAAGAAAACAGAAATATCTATCTATCTATCTATCTATCTATCTATCTATCTATCTATCTATCTATCTATCTATCTATCTATCTATCTATCTATCTATCTATCTATCTATCTATCTATCTATCTATCTATCTATCTATCTATCTATCTATCTATCTATATCTATCTATCTATCTATCTATCTCGTAATGAGGGGAGGGACATTTAGAAAAACATCATTCAGACCTATACTCGGTTCACGTGGTTCAGATTCCTTTTATTAGCTGAAGTGAATAATTAGTTTGAATACAAGGTGAGTGCCTCAAAATGCCCTAATCCTTCCCTCTTTAGAGTTCTAAAATAAAAGGCAACACACACACACACACACACACACACACACACACACACACACACACACACACACACACACACACACACACACACACACACACACACACACACACACACACACACACACACGGTCAGGAGTCCTGAGAGTCCTGCAAAGAAGAAAAGGCGTGCTGAAGCGAGCTCTCTCAGTTCATCACCAAGTCCATGAGACAAACTGCAGCCGGCGATCCCGCATAACAGCTCTTTGATCTGACTCACCCCAACCCTCTCTGAAGAGCAGGGGCCTCGTTTTTAAAGCTTATAAAAGATGGGTGCAACTTTAAGCAAGCTCCTGGCCATGTGCTGGCCTGTGTCTTAATTAAAAAAATATACAATTTAATGATGATGCCAACATCTTCAAATGACTTAATTTTGAATTCATCAGGTGAAGCCAACAGCCAAGGGGCAAACTCCACCGGCTCAAGTTAAATTGAAGCCAAAGTGGGTGACACAAATTGCAGTTTCCCTCTCATCCACTAGGGGGATGGCTCCAGAAAGGAGCAAGTTCTCACTGACTCCCATGTTAAAAATGCCAGCTTCACAGCAGGAATAAACAATACACACGTTTACAGCCAGTTACAAAATACGTCTTAAGTTCAATAGGTCAATTTTACTGTTACAACTTCACTGAAGTTTTTTTTAACTCACCCGAATAAGAAGTAATTAAAGCTTGAAATTATGAATACCTAGGAGCGTGTCCATTTGATTAGCAGCAGGTGAGCTGTCAGTGCTAGTGCTAGAAGCTTGCTTCAGGGAAGGACTCGTGTTTAAAGTGTTACAGCCAAGAAGGCAGAGGGACCGGTGGCCCTGGTGGCACCAGTGTTCAGCAGCCTTGCTTCAGCTGGCTAAATAAATTACTGTCGACACCAGGAGTTGAACCAGCATCAGTACATGGCTGAACAAGGTGAAGGGCAGTTGCATTAACTGCTAGACTACCAAAGCCACTGTTGTAGGTGTAGGTGCTCATCCCTCACCCCTGCCACGTGGACCTCATTGGATAAACCATGAACCCTGCTCAATGGTCAACTTTCCTGGCGGGCTCACCCAGTAGGACAGTGGGAGGGTTAAAATAGCAAGATGGTGCATCTCTCCTCTTGTTATGGCCAGGGAGCCGGGTCGTAACAGGCTCCGATATTCGGTTTGCTAAAGAAAGGAGGACTTGAATGAGGCCCTAAAACCCAGAGGCTGATAAGTGAGGGGTGACTTTGGCTCAAACGTGAAGAACAGAGATATCACAAGTTTAAAACCACACAAGTCAGAGAAATAAGGACAAATATAGATCAGCAACACTAAAATAATCTAAAAGACATTAGAATGTCCTCGTGAAAAGATTTATAATCTAAATGCCTAAAATATGAGTGAAGTAAAAGATGAGAAATCAAATGCAAATGTGATGAATAAAATAATAAGAAGGGATGAAAGAGAAGCAGCCCTCTGAAGTGGAACTAATTCTGTTTTCAAGATTACATAATAAAATTTTAACTATTCAAAATCTATGTTAGACATCAATTTAATTTTTAACCACTCATCTATTTTCCTCGGCTCACTCAAGGTTTAGTTAAAGGTAACAGACCCAGGAAGCAGAAAATAAATACAAATCAACACTCTATACTCACCTCTGGAGACCCCAAGGCTATAGGATACAAACTACCCCAGAAAATCTCCTTCCAGTGGGATCTGTCCAGAAATACTCCAAAGGGAGGTGAGCAGGAGGCACCCAGTTCAGCTGACTGCCTTTGATGAGGAGGAGCGAACACTCTGCTCTACTCTGAGATGATGAAGTTCAATTTGAGCCCAGCAGCACAGCTGGCCTACCTTTAAGCCACGATCTGCATCTCATGACCAAATACAGATCAATAAATCAAACGGTTTTACCTTTTATCTCTACTCTGACTTTAGATTTCAGAATCAGAATATTTATTATCATTGTAGCAATGAGACATTGTACAACGAAATTAAGGTGCAAGCCTTCCCGTGCAACATAAAAGAAAAACAATATGACTTTATCAATACTACAATCACAACTATATAGAAAGTACGACCATATAAAAGCTATACATAAACTATGACTATAGAAAAACCATGACTATTTAAAATACACATACACTCAACATATTGCACTTGTATTGTAGCTTATCTTTGGCTTGTGCTGGCCTAAAGCCTACAGAATGTAAACATGTGCATGTTTCAATAAACTGTGCACTGGCTCACATCAGAAAGACATCAAACACTTCATCTTTTATACACAGTCTCTTATCAAATGTAGAACAGTCAAATATGGTGAACTACTCTGTCAGATGGGTTTTAATTTTATCCTCCCGTGTTAACCAAACCTAACTCAGTTTGGATAAAAAAAGAAAGAAAAAACAGAAATTAGGCTTACATTTATCGATCAAATGGTCCATCATACATCCCATCCTGGCGCGATGAAAATGTAAGCAGGATTAGACGAGCCTGGCCTGCTAGATTCATCCTCTGTTTAATTCTACACAGAGAACATCCAATAAGGACGCGTGTGGCTGGCTGGTCAGGCTAGGATTAGACCATTTTAGATCATTTTGTCAATGCTACTGTTTACATTCTCATACGATTGAGATCTCTTCACTAAAAGTATAATAAACTCATCCAAACCAAACAGAAGTGTTGCATCAACAGTATCACATCTTTTATTTTTAAATACTAAGATGTGTGATGTTCCTGTTGAGACACTAGGAGGAGCAGTTCAGCTGTAAAACTCCCTCCTAGAGAGTGGGGGTGGTGGGGGTGGGGGGTACAGGCGAGAAAGGGGAGGGGGGTGGTGTCAGGGCACAGAGGCACAACTTGGACAAAGTAACATGAAGAAAGAGGCGGGAGGGAAGAAAGAGAGGAAGGGAGTGTCCATGTAAAAGGATACGGAGAAACAGAAAGGGGTGGAGGAGGAGGAGGGGGGGACGTCCCTGGAGGATATGAGCAATAGCCATGCAACAGGGAGCAACGCCTGAGAAAGTCGGCAAGCTCTCTGGATTAACACCAGCCTCACTTTTCCTGCCTCCAGTGCCAGACAGCAGCAGCAGCATCCAGCTCTGCCCCTGCAGGGAGAGCAGCTGATGGAGCCGGAGCGGGCGCTCTGAAGCTGCTGGAGCCAAAACACCCAGCATTAATCCTGGAAATGAGTGTCACTGGAAAAATTACTGTTCTTTATTTAAAAAAGAGAAAAACGCGGGGTTCAAGGATATAGGCAGCAAACTACATGAAAGCGTTTCCTGACGTGTTTATTAATAGGAATGATAACTTGTGATAAGCCTCATTCCCTTCAACCGTGTTTCTAATTCCTTCAAAGACAGCTGAAACGGAGTCCACTCGTGATTATTTAAGTACTGTGTGTCTAGATAGGACTCTGGAATTATGATGATCAGCTCCTCAGAAAACTAAAGGTTGCAGAGCTGCACTGTTAACCCTCCCACTGTCCTAAAGGGTGTGACCCCACAAGGAAAGTTGACCATTGAGCAGGACTGATGGTTTATCCCTTGAGGTCCACATGGTAGGGGTGATGTGGTGCTCACTCCTCACCCATTAGGACAGTGGGAGGGTTAAAACATCTTTCACAAATAACGATTTACAAAATAAATAAAAACCCTTTGCCATTTGTGTTTCTAAAACTTTTGGAAAACACAAACTAATTTTTGAAAATGTTTAAAATTAAAATTTTCCAACTGAAACTTTATTTGTGATCAGAGGGTTTCATACTCAATCAGGGCTGTTTTTTCATCTACTTAATTCTGGTTTTCAGAACAAACATGTCTCCAGATTTCCAGTTTATTTTTTATGAGCCTGTTTCATCGTTTAATTATCAACTTTTAACTTCACCTTTAGGCAGAATTTTATAACATTTAAAAACAGAGAATGAAATTCAGAACAGAAACAGAGAAATCACAGATAGATAAACCACTCGTCATTTCTTTTAAATGCCAGAAAACAGAGTCCATAAAGTAGAATTCACTTCCCACAACCTCGCTTTGGGATGGAAACCAGCAAAACCAGCTCTGCCGAAACTGGACAAACCTAAAGGGACCATGAAGTCCAACACCAATCTGCAGCAACCAAAAGGCAGAAAACAAAATATTTAGCACCAAACCACCTCCTAA